ATACATATATATATATATATATATATATATATGTGTATGTGCATCCCGCGCCCCATATTGCTGAACTTCGTTGTTTCCATCCTGTAATAATCGCAATCCTGTCTAGGACCTTCGATGTTCTGTATGTCTCCTATAGCAATGCCTTTGATCCTGTGCCCTGCAGCCCTATCATACAAAACTTAAGAGCCTCAGCACATATATCCTCCAGTCTAACTTGTGCTCCATATAAGCAGTTGAAAGAACCAATCGCTGATGTGTGCGTCATCATATGCTGCTAGTCAGCAGCCACACACAGGGAGAGTAGGTGCCGATCAAATGATTTCGCGGTCGCAAAGCAGGCTCGCAGCCTTGGACCAGAAAGGCGGCGCTAGGAGGAGGAGGATCCGTCTCCTCCGTCTGAACGCACTATCGGTGGCATTTTTCTTTTCCGCTAACCATGGAGGGCTCAGCCAGCACTTTGCGTGCATAGCCATAGTGGCAAGTGGCGTGGCGCTGGTGACAATCATGCTGAGTTTCCTTCACCCTGCTTCGACCATAAGCGCGGCATCTGCCTCAATGTAATACTGCCCCCTCCCGTTCTGGAAACCTTTGGGCCCCCCCTAATAAGACGTCCAGTACACATCAAAAGCCTTGGGACTCCACCTCCCTACGCGTTCTCCTTCCCCCCTCTCCTCCCTCATCCCTCGTTCCCTCTTCATCCTCCCTCCTCCTACCCCCGCAGTGGGAGGTCGAGCAAGAAGGTCAAAAAGGTCAGCAGCAAGAAGAAGGGCTGCTGCTGAGATGCGGGCCCTGTCTACCAGCAGTCGGGCCTCTCCCTCTTCTCGATCAGACGTAAGAGTGACCTTTCGCCGGAGTGACCTTTGGTGCGGGCCCAATGGGGTCCCCCGATTGCCGAACGCGGTGCGGTAGTAGCGTCTTGCGCGCTCGTGTGTTGGTCCCCGCGCGGCCCCCAAAAGCCGCGCACCAGAGGTCACTCTTGCCCAGGGTCACTCTACCGAGTAGTCGATCCTCCCACTTCCTCCGTCCGGCCGGGCTTCTGTGCACGCCGCCGCGTGTTTTCGTTTTTACATGCATGTCAAGCAGTGGCGAAGCGTCCTGGCTCGCCTTTTGCCCTACCAAACACAATGTTCTAAGCACCTTTTGTGGTTCCCGCGAAATGTTCTTAGAACATCTCTGGCTGGGACCGTCTTGTCTTATCACATCGGGGTTATGTTCTGAGAACATTGTTGTTGTTGTTGTTGTTGTTGTTGTTGTTGTTGTTGTTGTTGTTGTTGTTGCTTCTTAGAACATTTTTGGGTGCTGAGAACACTTCGTGGTAGGACTATAGGAATGCCGGGACGGTCGGTCCCTGCTCAATGCATGGCACCATTGCTTCCCACGGCGCGCCTCGGGCTGTGCCGGGCGCGGGGCCCCGCCGCCCGCCGGCCGGACTGCGCGCGCGAGGCCTCGGGCGTGGGCGGCGGGGGTCGGGGCCCTTGGGCCTCCGCAGGCGGCGCGGTCACGAGGGGGGCGTCGTGCTGTTGCTCTATGCTCCTTCTCCCCCATCCCCAGTGTCCGCCCTCCACCTCCTCCTCCTCCCCTCTGCATTTCTCCGCAGTTCTCCTCCTCCTCCTCCTCCGCCCCCTCCTCTCCTGTCCTCTCCTCTTCCTTTCTCTCTCATCCAGGGGCAAGGATCTTCCTCCTCCTCCTCCTCATGTCTCCTCCTCCTTCTCCTCATGTTTCCTCCTCATCATCCTTCTCCTCATCCTCCTCCTCTTCTTCCTCCTCTCCTGTCCTCCCCTCTCCTCCTCTTCCTCACCCCTCCTCCTCCTCCTCCTCCTCCTCCTCCTCCTCCTCCCCCTCCTCCTCCTCCTCCTCCTCCTCCTCTTCCTCCTCCTCCTCCTCCTCCCACTCGAGCGGTGCCCGATATTACCTATACGACCACCCTTCGGGTGATAAGGAGGTTCGGGGGGGGGAGGAACCAACGTCTCACTCGATCGGTCTCACTATCGATTTCACTATCGGTCTCGCTCGACCGGTCTCACTCGATCGATCTCACAATCGATCTCACTCGATCTATTTCAGTCGATCGATCTCACAATCGATCTGACTATCGATCTCACAATCGATCTCACTAGATATTTCACTATCGATCACACAATCGATCTCACATTCGGTCTCACTATCGATCTCACTATCGATATCGCAATCGATATCATAATCAACGTCATCATCATCATCATCATCATCATCAACAGCATCGTCATCAACGTCATCAACAATATCATCATCATCACCATCGGGACACCATCGTCAGGATCACCATCAACATCATCACCATCATCGGGACACCATCATCATCATCATCATCATCGGAACACCACCATCATCATCATCATCATCATCATCATCATCTCATCATCATTCTAATGAACAACATCAACATCATCATCATCATCTGGGCACCATCATCATAACAACATCATCATCAACATCATCATCATCGGGACGCTATCATCATCGTCACCATCATCACCATCATCATCATCGGGGCACGATCATCATCATCAACATCAGCATCATCATCATCATCACCATCATCGGGCCACCATCATCAACATCATCATCATCACCTCATCCTCATCCTCATCATCAGCATCATCATCATCGGGACACTGTCATCGTCATCATCATCATAATCAACATCATCACCATCGGGACACCATCATCACCATCATCAACAGCATCATCACCAATATCATCATCATCATCATCATCGGGACACGACAATCATCTACATCATCATCATCATCATCATGACATCATCATCAGCATCATCAACATCATCAACATCATCAGCATCATCATCATCATCGGGACACCATCATCATCAACATCATCATCAACATTATCATCATCGGGTCACCATCATCATCACCACCATCACCATCATCATCAGCAGCATCGTCAACACCATCATCAGCATCATCGGGGCACAATCATCATCATCATCATCATCATCATCATCATCATCATCATCACTATCACCAGCATTATCAACAACATCATCGACATGATCATCATCATCATCATCATCATCATCATCATCATCATCATCATCATCATCATCATCATCATCATCATCATCATCTTCATCGGGACACCGACGGGACACCGGCGGGACACTTGCGCCACACCGCGCGCCACCGGCCTCCGGTCAGGAATCATTTGGTCCGGCCGTGCCTCAGCCGGAGGCGGGACACCGGCGGGACACCGCGCGCCACTGGCCCCTGGTCAGGAATCATTTGGTCCGGCCGCGCTTCAGCCGGAGGAGACTTTCTTCTCGCCCGCCCACGCAGCTTCGCCTCGCCCGCACGCACGGCACGCACGAACACGAAACCGAAACCGATTTCCCGGTAGGGGGGCTCTCCGTTCCACTTCGATCTCACCCCCTCACCTCCGATCCTGCCCGCCGCCGTGTGGCTTCCCAGAGCTTTAGCCTGCCCGTTTTCAATGCGTGTTGAGTCGCCCAGGCCCTACGCGTGTTACCTTTTTGCTTGTTCCAAGTGAGCCAAACCATCCGATCGCCCCAATCTACTGCAGTTCTAGCCTCCCATCCTCATCCTCCCCTCCCTCTTCCAGGATATGAGCAATCGCAGAGCTGACATGTGACTTCGACCCCGCCTGACTGCGGCTGCTGCAGGGCCGACGGCAAGAATCACGTCGTAGGTGCGCTCTATAGTGCTTTGGAGTCCCGAGGCCGTTTCCGGGGAGAGGTCCGGAGGCCACACGTGCTGGGAAGCAGCCTCGTATGTTCGGGCGACGGGGGCGCCAGGAGGCCGGGAGAGGAGCGGGGGGGAGGTTCCCCACCCTGGAGGGTTTCTCCGAAGGGCTTAGGCGACCCGTCCTCCTCCTCCTCAATCTCCTCCTCCCCCTCCCCCTCCCCCTCCCCCACCACCTCCTCCTCCTCCTCCTCCTCCTTCTCCTCCTCCTCCTCCTCCTCCTCGGGTCGCCTACGGCCCCGGGGGAAACCGTGCACCCCACCCCTCACGCCATACTTCCCTTTGTTGAGCCACCTCCTCCCCGCGCCCCTCCTCTTGCCTCGTCCCTCCTCCCTGCTCGCGTCACTTGGGGGGGGTGACTGGAAGGGGGGGCGGAGGGGATGAGGGGGGCATTGATGTTCATGTTCAGCGCGAGGAGGAGGAGGCAGCTGGGAAGAGGGATGAGAAGGAAGCTGCGAGGAGAAGGGGGAGATGGGAGAGGGAGGAGGGAGGAGGAGGGGATGAATGAGGAGTATGGGGAGGAGGGGGGAAGGGTAGGAAGAGGAGGAGGAGGAGGAGGAGGAGGAGGAGGAGAAGGAGGGCGAGGAGGAGCCAGGAGGAGCGAGGAGGGGGAAGGGGAGGCAGAGGGGGCGCAGTTGTTCCTTTCTCTCTTTCTATGAACATGCGTACCCACACACATCACGTACACATAATGGAGACATGTGCATACAGATCTGTGCGCATGCGTGCAGAACTGCACATCGACGTAACAAGCTAATCCATGAACGAAGTACTGACATTGCCAGTTCGTCGGTGAACGAGTCCGCGCGAGAGCGCCGACCGCCGAGCGCCTCCCGGAGCCCCCTGCCCAAACCGCTGCTCTGCCCCTGCTCGCCGCCCACGCCCGCCGCGGCGCGCGCGCGCCAGTTATCCCGCCGCGTGGCTAGCGCCGCCCGCCGCGCCCCGCGCCCCCTCGACGGGACGTGCGAGCGACGGCTCGCCGCAGGGACCTCTGGTGCGGGCACACTTCTCGGGCCGAACGAAAGGGCCCCTCCTTCATATTCTCCTCCTCCTCCTCCTCCTCCTCCTCCTCCTCCTCCTACACGTGCATGAATCCACGCTGGTTTCGAGAGTTCGCATTGCGCGAATGTTCGTACCACGTGGCGGGTCTCGCGGGTTAGAGGGTCGGCCCTGACGAGAGGGGGGTATAGGGAAAGGGGGGGTTACGAAATCTGCTGCATGCAGCTGGTCTCGGCCCCGCCGCCGGGCCCATTCCTCGATGCATGGGCGCCTCCTGGCGCCGGGAGGCGCCGGGAGAATCAGCTACGTGAGCTGATTCTCAACCCCCCCTTTTGCTATCCCCCCCTTTCGCCCGGCCCGAATTTCAGAGGCAACGATAGGGGGGACAGGCCTAGGGGGGGATGGATCGACCCCCAATCGCCCATTGATCGCCGACAGGGGCCCGATGGCCCCAAGTTGCCCAGGAAGGTGCAGGTTCACCATCGGGAATCCATCGCCGATCTATCGGCGATGCATCGCCGATTCGATGTCGATGTTTCCCCCCCTATGCCCATCCCCCCCGATCGTTGCCTCTCAACATTGGGGTCCCCCACGTGAGTAGCTTCGTGCGCGCCTGCGTTTGGGCACCCCGCGGCCCCCAAAAAAGGAGGCCGCGCACACCAAAGATCACGCTTGCCAAGGGCCGCTCGTGCGTGCAGCCGAGGACAGCACCACGAAGGGACATGGCGGTCCAGACCTCGTTCAGAAATCGCCAGGCACGACATCACCAGGAAATCGCCAGGAGTGAATGCCAAATCGCTGGAACATCACCAAGACATCGGCCATGAACTAGATTGCCTCCGGAGGGACGCCAGTCGAGATAACAGCGGCCCTCCCTGGCGCTCGTCGTTTTTCCTGTGCCTCCCGGAGGCCTCTTGTCGCCACGGCTGGATCCGCCTCGAAAAGCGGGTCAGGATGGACCCCAGGCGGCGTCCAGGGACCGATGTGGAGCAGATGCAGGAGGAGGAGGAGGAGGAGGAGGAGGGGGGGGAGGAGGAGGAGGAGGAGGAGGAGGAGGAGGAGGAGGAGGAGGAGGAGGAGGAGGAGGAGGAGGTGGGGCGGTCGGGAGAGCCGCCGTTGTCTCAACTGGCCCTCCTCCGAGTCCCGAGGGGAACGGCTTCAGAGCTCCTGCATTCGCAGGAGATCTTCCCCCTCAATCCCCGAGTTCAGTCTGAAAGGATGGGCCCTTCACTTGGCATCCCTCGGACGTGTGCGTTTTTTCCTCGGCGAGGACCATCGAGGAGCATCCTTGACCAGTTGGCGAAAAAAACACGCACGAAACCGACAAAAAACACAAGCAATGGACGTCCGAGCGATGGCGAGCTCAGGGGGGAGGGAACTGTGGGATGCACCCCGGGGGTGGTATTCTGACGCCCCCCTATCGCGGATGGACGCCCCCCATCGTCGGAGGTGAGGGGGTGAGATCGAAGTGGAACGGAGAGCCCCCCTACCGGGAAATCGATTTCGGTTTCGTGTTCGTGCGTGCCGTGCGTGCGGGCGAGGCGAAGCTGCGTGGGCGGGCGAGAGAAAGTCTCCTGTGGCTGAGGCGCGGCCGGACCAAATGATTCCCTTCCGGGCGGCCGGGGCCCCGCGGTGTCCCGCCGGTGTCCCGCTTGTGTCCCGTGTGGCTGAGGCGCGGCCGGACCAAATGATTCCCTTCCGGGCGGCCGGGGCCCCGCGGTGTCCCGCCGGTGTCCCGCTGGTGTCCCGTCGGTGTCCCGTCGGTGTCCCGAGGATGATGATGATGATGATGATGATGATGATGATGATGATAATGATGATGATGATGATGATGATGATGATGATGATGATGATGATGATGATGATGATGATGATGATGATGATGACGATGGTGATCATGATGCTGTTGATGATGGCGATGATGGTGATGCTGTTGGTGTTGTTGATGATAATGATGATGACGTCGATTGTGAGATCGATTGTGATATCGATAGTGAGACCGAATGTGAGACCGAATGTGAGATCGACTGTGAGATCGATTGTGAGATCGATTTTGAGATCGACAGTGAGACCGAATGTGAGACCGAATGTGAGATCGATTGTGAGATCGATTGTGAGATCGATAGGGAGATCGATAGCGAGATCGATAGTGATATCGATAATGAGATCGAATGTGAGATCGATATCGAGATCGATTGAGTGAGACGTTGGTTCCCCCTCCCCCCTCACCTCCTTATCACCCGCAGGGTGGTCGTATGGGTATATACCAGGGTTGGGCCCCATATTGTAAGTCCGGTGGGGAATACTCACAATGAGTTTCGCGCACGCAGTGGCACGACGGAGTGCGCCCGTCGGGGCTTCCTGGGCGGTCCGCTCCTTTTTGCGCGGCGAGCGTGACCCGAGCCAGGGCCCCGTACAAGCCAACGAGGCAGCGGACAGGCAAGCAGCGCAGAGAGGAGAGAAGGGAGGGCAGGGAAGAAGAGGGACGGGAGTCGGCTGTCACCCAGGGGCCCAGGGAGGCCTCCCGAGCAGTTGCGTAAACAGAAGCACCAGGGATGAAATGCTGGTCCTGGGTGACGGGCCCCTGTGCACCCGCCTCCTCCCTCTCCTCCTCTTCCTCCTCCCTCTTCCTCCTCCTCCCCCGCCTCCTCCTCCTCCTCCTCCTCCCCCTCCTCCTCCTCCTCCTCCTCCTCCTCCTCCTCCTCCTCCTCTTCCAAGCACCCCGGCACAGAGCAGGGGGGGCACACTCCGATAACGCAGGTCCCTTGCTTTCCTCTCCACTTCGCATTCGTGACGGTGCTGCACACGCAGCAGAACAGACACAGTGCGCCTCTCATGACGTTTCTCTCGATTTGTGATCACGCGACTCAGACGATCGCTGCTGGCCATCAGCAGCTTCCTTTTCATAAATGGTGTATCGACTCTTCAGTATAATCCTTTATTTGCCAGTTCGTATGACAGGTTGATGGACATCGCCACCCTCACCGCCCAGTTTGATTTTGAGTGCTCGACAGGGACAGGAACACGTAAGTTTGGCACGGACGGAGCTGTCTGGAGGAAGGCGGGACGCAGGTGGATGATCGAAGTAGGATGGGCGAGGGCACCAGGCAGCAACATAAGTGCAGGATGTAGTATTGTGCGTGGCCCCCCGTATCCGCCGTCACACAGTCACGCACACGTGGACGACACCAGGGTACATCGCAGGGCGAGGAGGAATTGCCAGACGTGCGAGATGTAGCCAGTATGGCTTTGGAGCTGCAGCTGTTTATTTCCCACCTCCGCTTGCCAAAGCTCATCCGTACACTATATACATGAAGGTGTGTGATAGTGTGGCGCAGTGGATCCGAGGGCTTCCCCCTTCTGGCAGTTTCCATACGCTTCCCCATCATAGCAATGGACCTCAACTCTGGCTTTGGGCTTCAGAAGATATCTGGCAGTGACCAATGGATGCATGTTCATGATGATCGTTTTGGGAATCTGGAGGTTCCCGTCAAACAGCGATATGCTGCATATGTTATGCTACGCCTAATCCAGGACTTGGACCTCGTCTTAGTGAATCTGCACATAGGCGAAGGACCTACCACTATGGTACCACGGGATCGAAGTATAAGCTGGACTACGTCTTCGTCCCTAAATGTGCGCTCCAGCAGGTCACCTCTGCAGGCCCCCATCAGATCCATGGCTAGGAAACCCCAGCTTACTAGGCATCAAGAGCATCGTGACCGCCTCCCTGTACACGTTCGCTTAGCATTTTCGCTAGCAGCCACCACGGCCACTACACACTGTGAAGGACTGGAGCCAGATATCCGAGTAGGACTTGTGTCGCGGCAGGTGGAATAGAATCGAGAGTCGTTGATGGGCAGTCTCCAAATGCGCACTAATCGAGCTGAGTTGTTGAACGGCCCCGAGCAAGAAATGATTAGGCACAAAGCAGTTTGGCAGAACTACCGACAGGAGGAGCAGACCCCCAATGCAGAACGGGGGTTCTTTATCGACACCATCCGACAGGTGGCCGAGGAATATTTCACAGGACGTGCCAAACCTTCGCGTGAGTATTCTGAAGCTGCCAGACCCAACCTGTCTAGCATCCATCGGCGACGCCAGCTAGGCATGTCACTTCAGTCGGCCAGCGCGGTCATCGAAGCTTCTTTCGTATCAGAAGATATTCGTTGCTTATTGCGTCAGTTTCGGTCGCAGCGTCGGCAGTATCTCAAGCAATGGCGAGCAGACATCACTGATGATATCCACGAGAATTTATAGGCAGACAGGCAGGCCGAGTGGGCCAGACTATTTGGGCTCCTCTCTGCCAGGGGGACGGGGCCCAAGAAGCGCAAGTATCGCAAACCTCCAGTGGCCCTCACCACCAGCAGAGATGCAGGACAGGCGGCTTCTTCCAGCATCACAGGGAGGAATTCAGGCGGAGGCGGTGGACTGGACCCAGATTGAAAATGATTGTTTATCGCATCCAGAACACGGCGTAGAAGCACACTACATATTAGGCGAATGCACGGAGGAGGGTGCGTCTTGGGCGCGAGCTAAACTGAAGCAGATCCGGCAATGTCTACGCAATGCAGGAAGGAGGAGAGCTGTGCCTGAGTGGTCTGTACCAGTGGAGTTATTATGGGCGCTTTTTTCCATGCCAGCGAACCCCCGAGCACTTTCGAGGGGTAGGATATCAAGCCCCCGACATAGACCCCCAGCAGGCCTGAGGTTTTTTGGCTTCCTTCATGCGCAAGGTCCGCAGGGTCAGGCAGACCCCACTAGTCTGGCATCTTTCGCAGACTGCAGCTTCATCTTGGAAGCGCGCGGTACGCGTGCCCTATCTTTTTGGCAAGGCTTCTGCTGCTACATATATTGACCCAGCGCAGAAGGATGAAGGGCGACCCTCGTCGCGCGGGCGCGTGGCCCGCCGAAGGCGAGAAACCCCGTTGCTCGCCCAGCAGTCGCTCGGCTGGCGGCTGCGCCAGCTTGGGTCGGAGTTTGCGAATGAAC